TCTTCCGATAAGGATTGACAGCCACTCGACACGCGTTATCCGTTAAGAGATTCGAGAATTTTATCACTGCTCTTCGATCCCCGTGATTATTCGTCGGTCCCTACATTTCTCTTCCTCCCTGTCCCTCGATATCCGTTCGTCTAGCTTTCGCTAGGTCGTTGAAATCACAGTCTCCACATGAAGAAACCACGACAGTCCGTCGACCCGGTCGAACGTCAGACGTTCGCGTTCGAGGAAAAAAAAAAACATTTCCGCTGGAGAGAAATAGCTCCTGGGAGACCAAACTGGACGAACGTTTCTCTCTTTTTTCTCGCTCTATTCCTCTCAAGCTGAAACGGACAATGGACTCGAATGGACATGAGTTTGTCTCTGGGGGGCAACTGGACGGTTGGCGGACACCGGATCCTTTTCAAACGACTTTCTACCATTGGTTCTGTGTCCACTGTTCCGCAAAGTACGAGGTTCGCTGCAATACGGAACAGGGATACAGCGAAACTATGAGAAATGACGACACGAGGGATGATGAGCTTTTTGAACGACAGCATCTTCAAAACCGCCGTTTCAATGCTCTGTATCCGATCTAAACGACCCGATGATACTGCTTGCCATTCTTGTCAACCACTCGTGCCCTCTCGCGGATACGAAAAAATCGACGTACAATGTCTGAAGCGTCATTTTCACGTCAAGCTGGTGATGCACGAAGCTACTAGTACATCGCTAGGCCACTTAGAGGACTCGAAGCGGTAATTAACGAAATTACGGGAACGAACGACGATGCTAATAGGTATCCTGTGTCGTGTTTGGTCGTATCGCGGCGTCGTTTTTTAAGTATGGAAATGCGCGGGCTTCTTTCGTGTTGAACCGATATTGCACATTATTGCATGTATGTACATATGTAAACATATGTACTCAGAATGTTTTCTCGCGACTTCGTTCGGTACCAATCGAACCAATCGCTTGTCTTTCCGTCGACCGAGAGATGGCGAGTGCGACGCTACACGAAGGCGGCCATTATTCGACACCGTGTCATCTACCAAAAAGAAACAAAAAATGAATGCGCAAGTTGCGTTGATACTGCTGATTTGCGAGTGTGTTGCAACGAGCGTCGCAAACGGCCAGTATATCGGCGACGATTATAACGAAGGTACGGAATTCACTTGTTTCATCACAAGTTTTTGCTCCTGTACCGACGTGGAGCTATCCAGGCCGTTCGTTTCACTCACAGCGCAGCGTCTCCGTTTTTTCTAACCTATAAGCGGATCGAAACGACGCGCTCCAGGCGAACAGAGAAAACTGGTAATAATTTCAAATTGACGGTTTGCAGAGAATTTGCAGGGTGAGAACGTGGGTTTCGATCGTCTGAGTTTGCTTCAAAAGTACGGATACAACAACAGAGAGAACCGTCGAAACGCAAACAACGCGTCCGACAGCTGGAATGGAAGATGGATGCCCGACAGACCAGGCGAACCAATTCCGCCGCCGAAAATCTTTCCAAAGACCGAGATTTTCGCCTCTGGTTCCATTCACGAAATACCGATGGGCCAACCGTCCGTAAATTGCGACGATGCCAGGGTACGTAATCGACAAGATCGACCGTTCCCCGACCGGTAGCAACGCGTGTACAGCTTTTCTTTTCGCGTTTGCATCTATTAGACCAACCTCACCGTCGACTGGAACGGTTCCCCGGCTGATTACACGTGCTACTACGAGAAATTACGACCAAACAAAGAAACGATACCCCACTTGTATTGTGAACACATTCCCATGACTTACGTGGTAAGTATACGCTGCCTGCGCGCCTTCGTTCTCGCCGTATATATATCCTAAAATAGGTGTAAGTCCTTGAAAGGGGTGATTCGAGGCAACTTTTTCCCGAGCAAAAAAGTTCTCCAAGGCTTCGTTAACGTGATACTAACAAAAAACTCCGACCAATCGGAGCGCGAGTCTGCCGGCTAAGCTCCCGCGGTAGCTAACATTACCACAGAAACCCGCTGACTCGCGCCCTGATTGGTCGAGGTTTTTCGTTAATATCTCGTTAACAAAGCCTCGGGGAATCTTTCCGCTGAGGTAAAAGCTGTTTCAAATCACCTTTTTCAAGGACTTACAACTATTTTGGGACATACTGTATACACATATATATCATCGGTCTCGTTTCAGGCTAGACACAAATGTATGTACGAGAAAATAGAATACGACACCGACATTCCACTGTAGTAAGTACGTTATTTCGATAAGGAGAAAAATCGCCTATCGACTCTTCTAATACCGGTTGCGCTGTCTTCAGTGGACCGCACAGACCGCTCTGGCCCGTTTACGGAGAATACAGATTCTTGCCGAAGCAAAGATGGATTCACAGTATGGAGGTATGCTAATCACACGACTTACTCCGCTGTTGTCCTCGTAATATCATTGATCTTGTTTTCCTGCAGCACGGTGCGATCGTCGCGCTCTACCATCCGTGTGCCAATCCATTGGAAGTGAAACGTTTGAAAAGCTTGGTTACTAGCTGCTTGCGGCGTCACATCATCAGTCCTTATAATCTGTTAGACCACGACCGTGTAAGTGTATTTACCTACCCGTACATCTGTTAATCACAGTGTTTCCAATCAGATTCGATCGTAAAATCGCGCGAATCGGATCAAGTAAGACTAAACGGTTTGCACTCGACGCTACTTTTTCTTTTTCCAGCCGTTGGCCTTGCTCGCATGGGGATGTCGATTGACCATGTCGTATGTGAATCCCGATGTGGTAATCGGTTTCATTCGGGAGCATGCACTTCAAGGACCGGAGGACATACCGAGTGACGGGGATTTCGAAGAGGGCCTCGTCCACGCTGCTGAAACCGTGTCGGATCATCTAGATACGAACCTGTGCCCCAGCGTAGTGCGCGATTAACCATCGTATCCAATTATTTATTTATTTATTTATTATCTATATATTACGTGTCTTTCCTTCTAATCTATCTGTAATATTTTCCACCTTTGTCGCATCGTCGAAACCGAGAAAAATAAATAAAAGAAACGTATCAACCGCACGTCTTGAGTAACCTTTTATCACTCTCGATTCCCCATCCTGTGCGGTGACTCGCGACTTTAAGGGCGGAGGAGACGAATGAATGGGACGCGCGTTCTTTTGTTGTTGTTTTTTTACTCCCGTTTACATACTCTTGTATATTGTTCGTTTCACGAGAAATGATCGTTAAATACATTAAACATCGTGTCGGTTTTTTAAAATCTCTTCGTGGACCTTTGTTATCTACAAGACGTATATAAGTAACTCGACTGTAGTGCTGACTAAACTCTGTTATTTCTGCGGATACGTATCTTCGACGATATATAAAATTAGGGTAAGACGATTAACGCTACAATAGTTCATTAATGTAAAATATTCTACTCGTCTACTCAATGGTAAATCGTTAACGTAAAAGAATACATGTATATATGTATTATCATGTGGGGAAGATCGACAAACAGCGCGCTGAAAGCGAAGCCCCCGCGAAACACCGACTCCTCCTAATTCTTTGGGAAGTTTCGCGTCCTCAGCACCAGCTAGAATCGATTCGACGATTCGGCTCTTATTAGCCGGTCGAATCTTCCATTTGGACTTTGATACCGACCCGACCTAACCGGAATCTTCATCGTTTCTAGCCATTTTTCTTTTTCCATACGTTCTTGTTCCATTGACTCTCTTCCCTCTCGGGTCGGAGATATGGTTTAGTCGGTGACCTTGGAGCGTTACCCGTTCACGGGTATGCTCACGGAAAAATAAATGTTTGTGCACGATTACCCGATGGCAAAGCATATTCGCTTGACCACGCGTTATATCTCTACCGTTCCGGTAATCGTTCAGTTCTTTCTTTGATTCCCTTTTTCCTCGACGAGTCCCAAGACTCCACGAGCCATCCACTTTTCGTTCATGTTTCGTGAAGTAAAGATTACGATGTTGGGTCTCTTAAGATTATTGCTAACTTTGTACAGTATCGCTAAGAATGATGAGAATAATGATAGTAATTGCATATTATATCGTATCAACGTCAAAAATGAAACAATAATCTATCACCTTTCTCAACAAGGGAGAGAAAAAGACAGAGAGGGGGAGAAGGGGGGGGAGAGAAAGAGAGAGAGAGAGAAGTGAAAAATTGCGACATCGCGACGCACAATTACGAGACGTAGATATACACGTGGTATAGCTCGTAAGCGGAAAAAACACCGTCGATTTATTTTAATAATCGTTAAATAATCGTTACTCGTTACAGATCTCATCTTTTCTTTCCCCATCCGATCGTGTTTAAATCTAAATTCATTTGGTTTCTAATATTTTCGACTCGAATTCGCTTCCTCCCTCCTAGGCACTCGGAAAAGCACGCATAATCATTCACACACAGGCATCAAACACGCACCCACACGTTCCCAAAGTTGAAACTTTGCTGTCCGTCCCGAACCGTAAACGTCACGTTCC